CAGGCGTTGTCTCCACGGTAACAGTAAAGTTGTGTCTCTGGTTCCGTTCAGGCGTTGTCTCCACGGTAACAGTAAAGTTGTGTCTCTGGTTCCGTTCAGGCGTTGTCTCCACGGTAACAGTAAAGTTGTGTCTCTGGTTCCGTTCAGGCGTTGTCTCCACGGTAACAGTAAAGTCGTTTCTCTGGTTCCATTCAGGCGCTGCAGGCTCTGGGTTTTCTGCTCGCCTCAGACGGGGACCTGGACTCTCTGAGCGCCGATGAAAAGTCCGACGGAGAAGGAAAGAATGACAGGATGTCCACCAGCTCCAGCTCCACATCCGTCACCTCCTCCACGGAGACGCAGGAGGTGGGAACACACACACACACACACACACACACACACACACACACACACACCAAACAGGTTTCCTGAAGTGTCTTTATAACATGAAACAAACTGTAAATCTGTTCAGTCTGAGGTGAGAAGGTGTTTTGGTTTTTTTATGCTCTTCTGTTGTTTATGATATTTCGATGGTTATTTTATGAACTGACGACTTCCTGTTGCCTCAGCTGCTGAATTTATCAAATCCAGGTCAGTTCAGGTTTCTGCTTTTATGTCTCCGGCTGATTCTCAGATCAAAAAAATCAGAAGAAAAGGTTAAAATGTGAGCGTTATAATGTTCAGTTTTTAATGCCTAAAAGCCTTTTTTCACATTTTGATTTATAAAAAATTTTTGAAACTTGAGTTTTTTTTCCTTCCACTTAATCATTCACACATTGTATGATATTTGTTTAAAATATAAAAATTCATTAAAATCCAGGCCTGTCAAAATAACAAATTTTGCTGGACAATAAATTGTCCCAGAAGTTATTGCTTTACACAATAATATTGTTGTTTTGATAGCATTTTCTAGTAATATAAAGATATTTATGGTATAATCAACTTTAAATTCTAATAAACATTAAACACTGGAGCTGAAATACACTTTAAATAATCAAAATAAATTAACAAAACAATAGAAGCAACAAATAAAATTAATTCTAAAATCTTTAAAAGCAAAATTCTCCTTAAAAAAAAGGTTAGTTGAGACCAAAATACCAAACTAAAACGTTTTTCATCCAGTTTTTGGTTGAAAGAGAAAAACAATAAATCATGCAAATGGAAATTGAGTTTGTTTTAATTAATCCAGCGATCAAATAATTTATTGCAGTAAAATCCATCAGATTGTGGTGATTTTACTAAATGTTGAATCAAATTTAAGGTTATGAATAATTATGTAAGGTTCTGTTAATTTACCATCACTGTGGAACAGCAGGGACTCTGGAGGTCCAGGTTCTGATCTGAATTAACCGGGTCAGAACCATGACAGCCTGTTAACTCCCAGCATGCCTCTGTGTCTCAGTCCAGAGCTCCGGGTCCGATCCTGACGGCGGGCGGGAAAAACCCGGTGATGGAGCTGAACGAGAAGCGGCGCGGCCTGAAGTACGAGCTGATCTCAGAGAGCGGCAGCAGCTACGACAAACGCTTCATCATAGAGGCAGGAACACACACACACACACAGGGACACACACACACACACACACACAGGGACACACACACACA